TTTCCCAGTTTTCAAGATTTTTCGATTTTTGTGCCCGAAACTTGCAAAATGCATAACTTTCGCATACGAGCTCCGTTTTCGACATTCTTTATATGCACGCGTAGGTAAAAATATTCTCTACGACTTTCGTTTAGATCGGCTAATTTTGACTTTATTTTAAATATTATTATTTTTAACAGACCGGGACAGGAAATCCGTTAAAAATTCATAACTTCTTTATTCGAAGTCCGTTTTCGTCTGTCTTTTTACTGTTGTACTACTATTGACGAGACCTTCGATTCTCGTTTAGGTTGTATCGGCTAAAAATCATTCGATCTTTATTTCGAGTTTTTAGTTGTATACTGCTATACTGAAACTTAGAAAAATCATAACTTCCTCATACGAAGTCAGATTTTGACGTTCTTTTTATAAAAGTTCTCGGTTTAACATAATCTACAACTTTCATTTAGATTGTTATGGCTAAAAAGCCTTTTATTGAAAATTCACTTTTTATATTGAACAGTGTTTTGCCGGTTTCGTCGCGGATTTTTGATTGGTCATAACTTCTTCGTTATAACTCGGATTTCAGTGTTCTTTATATTTTTGGAAACCTTGTTACAATCTCTACCACTTTGTTCATACCAATTACGATTATTGATCAATTTATTTTTGACCTAAATTTGACTGGTGTTACAGATTTCCTAGGATTTGATGTGTATAAAATCTCATAATACAAATGATTTTGGACATTATTATAATCATACATGCCATAATTTTTTCAAAGATGTTTTGTAAAAGAACAACCAACTATACAATCTACAATCATATGCAGGTTGATGAGGTCAGAAGTTTAGAAGGTTGTGTCTGAGTAAACATTAATCATCCGTTTTTTAAGGTGTCAAAGGTTTTGTTGTTGTATTTGATTCTTCATCTCATAAAAAAATATACACTGTTTGAGTGTATGATTGAAGATTTATTTAATATTATAATTAACATGTGCAAATTAATACAAAAACTCTTCATTTTTGCTACATCAACTTTGCAATTATCTTACATATCACCAAATAGCATATGACATAGTGATATAAGGAGTTGTTGAAAGGATCTTTCAACAAAATAGTTTGAGGGTTCAACTCTAATTTTAGAAGTAGACTAGATTATAACCAACGTTAAACACGGGAAACACATAAAAAACATATAATTGTCTAGATATTGCATAATAATTATAAAAAAAATTATGGTTATTGGTATTATTGAAATGTGTAGAAAATATATTGAAAACAATAAATATCTATAATCATTGAAGGACCTCTTTGTTGACAACATTTTTTGTTTTATTAGTTGAACGACCTTCCTCGTCATATATAGTTATGATATTGTTATATAATTATAAGCATTATAATTAGACGTTCTTTCCATAATAAGGTTTCCTAATTTAAACATATATTGACAACCAATATACCGTTTTTTCCACTGCATTAAATATTGACAACTATTTCATTTATTCAAATAAAGTCATATAGTATAATTTATAGAATGTTAAATGTTATATGGATTTAATTTTAATATATCATCAATGAAAATTATTTTCTAAATCATGATTGGTTTGCTTTAAATTGATTATGAATATAAGTGCTAGTTTTTATGTTTGTTTTTCTTTATTTGGTGTTCGCAAGAACTTTGCATTAGTCTTGGCGCAACTTTGAAGAGTTTTAGTATATCATCAATGTAATTTGGTATATCTTTTAGTTATATGAAATATCAAATAATGACATTTCGTTACTATTGTGATAATTTAGTTTATATATTGCATTTTTACTAATTTTAAAGGTCTTATTTTTTTTTCTAATAAGCGTAATGCTTTTAGTAATTGTACTTTTTACAAGTCTCCTAATATCTTATAATTTTTATCTTATTTTATAATTTTTCATAACTATGCTATTTTCAAGATTGACTGTCATAATAGTTTTTTTTTCAGTCTATTCAATTTTATATTTCATTGTACAACATCATCGTTTGTATGTATTCTGAAATTTCACTTTAAAAATGCTTAATGTTTACACCTTGATATTAATTTTTTTTAATAAACCTGTATAATAATTATGGAATATATATCTTGTTTTAATTAACATTTACTTCCTTCATTAAATCAAATTCCTCATTAAACGGATATATTTTTGGAAAGTAATAATTATAATGGGGCAACATTATCTAATACGTAAATGCTTGATATACTTTTGGAGGAAAAACATCAGAATCATTAAAAATTTTTATATAAAGAAAATACAAATTTAAATTAGGTAAAAATATGGATGAAATTACTGGCGAAAATTATTTTGGAGGGAATTGTATTTTGTAAGGTATAATAATATCACAAAATTCGAAATATGTATATTTGTTGTGTAAATTTATAAATTTTATTGTTACTATATAAAGATAAAAAAGTAGGTTGGTATGTTATACAAAAACATAATAATTTCAATGATATTTTAAAATCATACCAAAATTAATTGGATTCTTATGACATAAAAATTAAAAAAAAAATCATAATCATCTCTAATATATAAAAGTAACATTTTCGTAATTAATGTCAGTTCCCAAGATAGTTAATTTTCGTTTTGTTAAATGTACGTAATATCTTTTCCTGTTTATTTGAAAAGTTTCAGAAAAGTAGTTAACCGATTTCATGTAATTTGTGGCAAAGAAAATCGAAATATATGAATACATATATTTGATATAGGAACAAAAAAATAATCGAAAAAAAATAAAAAACGAAAGAAGGTACTAACCTTCTAGTGCACATCAACGAATGTTTGAAGCAGAGAATGATGATGGAAGTTATAAGCAATAAAAATGATGTTGTAGGAGAATGTTTGAAGAAAAAAAACGATTGAAAATAAATGTGAGCCGCGGATTCAAGGATTAATCGTATATGTATGTGATAATTTGAATATATGATTTTTTTGGTATTAATGATTTCTCAATAAAAATAGATTTTACATTAATGGTTTAGTAATATAAATGGATTTATATTAATGGTTGATATTAATGCCTTGATTGAATGGTTTGTTAGTAATATGCTTTTAAAATTGACCATATTAAAACCTTCATAACCGGAAATTTAAGATTTAAAATATGGAAAGCTTTTATTGGAATTAAATACATTCCATTTCAACGAATGCAAGTTATTGTTTGACGATTCGAAAGCATTTATTGGAATTAAATACAATCCATTTGGGGAAGATGATATCAACAATTTGATCTAAGGGTGGAAAAAATAAGATTGAAATATAATCAATGGTCCAAATTGTTTAAGACGATGTCATAAGATTTCTCTTTTAATAATATTTAGAGATTAGGAGTGTGAATTAGTTGTTCAAAAAAATATGCTATACATCAATGCAATTAAGTTATAATACTAAAAACAAGAAAATGATAAATAGAAGGGGAAACAAGTCTTTTTTTACATGACTTAACAGAAAATTCTAATGGTTTTAGGAAAAATGACCGACTGTTAGGAGTGAACATTATAACCACAAAATCAAAGCAAAAACCAAATTAATTGATATGACTTAACTATTTTAATTAAACCATTACTAAAAGATATGATGCGGTTTCTAATTTTGATTAACCGAATATATATGATTTTCATCTAAAACCGAACCGAACCAATAATATTAATAAATGTTTTTAATATAATATAAAATTAAATATATGATAATTATATTACGAATTGAAAATTTAAAGGCTAATTATTTGGAATTAGAGGATAAGTAATCTTCTATCAATACAATTATATATAGCAATCATTTTTTTTTTTTTTTATAGTAATGGACTTTATGTTTAATTTTCAATTTTTATAGAAAAGTATTTTTATTTTTGTCATTTGGACCATTATGGTTAACCGATATTAACCATTAACCAACTAAAACCGATAACTAAACTAATATTAACCGCTACCCAATGACTATCAAAGTACATTAACCAATTGTAATGGTTATGGTTCGGTTTTGACCAATAACCGAACCAAACCGCCCTATACACATCTCTACCAACCATGATGGATTTTGAAACATGAGGATTATCCATATCAAATTTTCAAAACTAAGACTAAACCTGCAGATGAGTGCCAACCACAAGGACCAAACTGTAATTTACTCTAAAATTTATATTCAGAACATTTTTCACTAAGATACTTGTTTTTTCATTTAGCACTAATTTAGACAGAAGGAGAAAAATGATCATTTACTACATTTAGATATTTTATTTAATTAAAAAGAAATAATTTTGTAGAGAATGCATCCTCCGAACAAAATCATTTATCCGGATAACAATTTACAGAAATACGACCGAACCCTCAGCCTCTATTGTTCACTTTCCATATATCAAGTTTCGAATTTTGTTGATTGAGCCATCCAATGGCAGAAGGTCATGACAATAAAAAGAGAAGACCAACTAAAGGTAAAAGTAATATATACTAAATTATCTAAAAAGATATAAAGAATAACCAGTTATTTTTACATTACAAGTTGTATTAATTTATTCAAAAAGAAAAAAAAAACAATACTATTTTTTTAACGACAAAAAACTTTTATTAAAAAAGACATAGCCAGGACATTTGAACATTCAATTTTAGGGTATTACACCAATTAAACCAGTTTATGATTGAACCTTTCCTAGCTCTAATCCTCATCCACTTGTAAGCAAGAAGTTTAATCTCACAATACTAACTCAGGTCATTTAAGTAATTTAATTTTTGATTATTAATATTCAAATAAAAGAAGTTTTTTTCCCCCTTGTGTTTAGTCCATATTTTTCTCTTCTGGTGGTATTTTTTTCTTTGGCTCTGTTAGTTGACTCTCCAGATACATTTTATTGGTTGACCTTTGCTCATAACCATGTGACATCTTATCTAGTTATGGTGGAAGGTTAAATTTGGAGATGGTCTATGTCTATATAATGATCATCGGACATTGAACATTATACGTCCACAAACAATTAAAGTCTTAAACCTTTCTTTCATGGCTTCACACATGAATCACTTCAATTTGTTGCATACCATCTCCCTTTTATACTTTTTGTTCACACTCACCTGCATTGGATCATCCCTAAGCCATGATCAGGAATGCTCAGCCTTGTTTCAGTTTAAGCAAAGCTTAATCCATCAAGGTGATGAAGCATTTTGTGGTGCTAGTTGGTTTCAAACATTCCACTCTTGGAAGCCCACCAGCAATGCATCAAATGCTCGTTTTGATTGTTGTTCATGGTATGGGGTGGAGTGCAGAAATGAGCATGAGTATGGTCATGTGATCGGCCTTGACTTGAGTGAATGCTCTCTTTGTGGTCGTATCAACTCTACCAGCACCCTCTTTAGCCTTGTTCATCTTCAAAGTCTCAACCTTACCTTCAACTACTTTGATGAATCTCAAATCCCATCTGAGATTTCTCATCTAAAGCAATTAAGAACCCTCAATCTCTCTTACTCTGGGTTTAGAGGCCAAATCCCAAATGAAATCTCACAGTTAATGCAGTTATCTTCTTTAGATCTGTCATGGAATTTACTAAAGCTTCACAGTCCTAGCCTCCAAAAATTAGTGCAAAACTTAACCCTACTTGAAGAACTCGATCTCTCAGAGATTGACATTAGTTCTTCTGTACCTCATTTCTTGACCAACTTTTCTTCTTTGAGGTCAATCAGGCTACAAAACTGTTCACTTCACAATGAATTCCCTGCAGCCATTCTTCAGCTACAGAAGTTGAAAATTCTTGATTTGTCATTCAATATCAACCTCAGCGGTTCCTTTCCTCGATTTCGTTACAACAGCTTACTTGAACATGTAGATGTAAGTTCAACAGGTTTCTTTGGGATTTTACCAAAATCCATAAGCAACCTAAACCATTTAATATTCTTGGGCCTTACTAAATGCTCTTTCACTGGGAACATTCCAAGTTCACTCTGTAACTTGACGCAACTCACTTACTTGGGTCTTGGTGACAACAAGTTCATAGGCTTTGTTCCTTCATTGATAAGTCTTTCTAAACTCAATGATTTGGGACTTAATGGTCACAGATTCAAGAATGGACACTTGCCCAACTGGCTTGGGAAGCTGACTGAACTTGATGAATTACATGTAAACTATATGAACATAAACGGTGAAATCCCACCATTTCTTGCAAACCTAACCAAACTTAGAGTTATTGGGATGGCAACAAATTCTCTTATTGGTCATATACCATCATCATTCTTCAACCTCACCCAACTAACATATTTAGACCTTCAAAAAAATCAATTGCAAGGACCAATTTAAAGTTCATTTTCCAATTTCAAATTTCTGGAAGGTCTTCGCCTACTAGATAACAATTTCAGCGGTAGAGTAGACTTAGACACGTTCCTAGGACTCACCAATCTCGAAATTCTTAGGTTAGGTAATAACATGATATCATTAGTTGCCACCGGCAACTATACCAATACCACCCTACCACAATTTTTATTTTTAGACCTGGCATCATGCAACTTAAAGGAATTTCCTGGCTTTTTGCGATTCCAACATAAAATGGAAGTTTTATTTCTCGATAGCAACAAGATTGATGGCATGATACCGGTGTGGATTTGGAACAACAGCACAGAAACATTAGAGGTGATTGACCTTTCATACAACTCCATCAGTGGCTTTCATCATCATCCTCATTTTCTACAATGGCGACAACTACAAGTATTCTCCATTGAGAATAATCAGCTACGAGGAAAGCTACCAATTCCACCAAAAACCACAATTCTTCTTTACTCCTCAAATAATTATCTGACAGGAGAAATACCACCAATGATATGTGAGATGAAATCTCTTCAACTGTTAGATTTGTCTTCCAACAACATGAGTGGAAAACTTCCTCCATGTTTCGGTAGCTTAAGCAATTCGTTGTTGGTTTTGGATCTGAGACGAAATAACTTTCATGGCACATTAATGATGACTGCATTCATGCATGGAACCCGGCTGGAAAGTATTGATTTGAGCGAAAATCACTTTACGGGTCAGCTACCAAGATCATTGACAAATTGTACCAGTTTAGTGTTTCTGTCTCTTGGAGATAACTCTTTTCATGACGTCTTTCCTTTTTGGCTGGGAACTCTTTCTAAGCTGGAAGTTCTCAATTTACGGTCCAACAACTTTTATGGTCCGATTCAAGGTTCGACGACAGTTTGCTCACAGTTCCCTAAGTTGCGGATCATAGACCTCTCTAACAACGCTTTTAGTGGTCGGTTGCAGAAAAAGTACTTCCAAACTTGCAACGCCATGAAATTACTTTATGCTGGTAAATCATCTGTTTTGGAAACAGTGATGTTCGTTAAACCATTTGGGTCAACGTTCATATACACGATGACCATAATACATAAAGGTGTCAGAACACAATACGAAAAGATTTCAACCATAGTCATGGCCATTGATCTCTCTTGTAACCATTTTGAAGGAGAAATCCCGCTATCACTCCAAGATCTTCGAGGGCTTCAATCACTCAACCTTTCCAACAATCATTTTACAGGACCCATATTGCCCTCACTAGGATTTCTAAAGAATCTTGAATCTTTGGATCTCTCCCGAAACGAGCTATCTGGAGAAATTCCTCAACAGTTGGTGCAACTCAACTTCCTTTCCATTTTCAATGTGTCATTCAACCATCTTGGTGGGCGCATACCCGAAGGGAAACAATTTAATACATTCGAGGATGACTCCTACAAGGGGAATCCTGGGTTATGCGGAAAACCTTTATCTAAGAAATGTCAAGGTTCAAAGGCGTCAAAACCTATGTGGTCTCAACCCCTCGACCAAACTAAAATTATTTTATGTATGGTATCTACAAAAAATAATACTTTTGAAAAGGATTTTTATAATTTTTTTTGTACTTTAAAGCAATCGTTACGAAGTATTTATGAGATCAAATATAATACATATATTTCTCAACTTTGTCATATCGACAATTCCTTTTAGTTTTTCATCTTTTATCAAACACCTAATTAAATTATATGTCAAGCCAGATATGCAACTTGGCAAAGAAGTTATTATTTACATACTTCAAATTTAAAATACTAAGAAAAATATTTTTTATTTTTATTTGGATATGTTATGTGTTCGTTCTATATTTTCAACAAGTTATTTTCTTATGGTACATTCATCATGATGTTTATGAAAGTATGCTTGTTTTAAATATGTTTTGGTATAGTACATGTACACATGTTTAAAGTATCTTGTATGTAACCCGTGTTATAACCATATTTTCTGAAGTATACATTTTACGAATGTGGATGCAGTATTTTCTATAAATAAAAAATCATGAACATAAACCTTACCTTAGCATGTATCTCAGGAGTTTCATAGCGTCAAGTTTGAAGGGTGAGGAGAAGGTGTAGAAGGTCTTCAAGGGATTTTAGGCTATTTACCATTAAGTATGTGTATCTTAAGCATAAGATTCTGTTAAGTTCAATTGGATTTCTTTGAGTTAAGACTTTCGTTGTAAAATTTTTGATATATCATTTAGTAAGACCCATGCTGTCTAAGTGTTTCCTAGATACATAAAGGGCATGTTTGATTAAACGATGAAATACTAACTCAGACTATATTCTCAAGGATTTCAGAGCCAAGAAGTTGTTTCTTTCATGCTTTTAAACAATATTCATGAGCCTTAACACCTACAATGCGCTTTATTCATCTCACTAACATCAAATTTTACATTAAATCAACAATAACCCATATGACAAGCAACTCCCAAAATCTGATCTCCTTTGGGTTTGAATCCCTGAGGCTTGATTATGGTTTTATGTTAACTATTAACCATACTTTTATCACCAATTTGACCAAAATCAAATCAATACACATACCTTTCTCAACCGATCTTTTGTGTTCCAACCCAGATGAAGCACTAGCACGGATACAAAAATCTATCAATTGCTATGTGATCCCTTACAATTACTGAGTATTCTTCCGAATCTTCACTTGTCTCCTTCTCGATTCAAGTATGGTGTGTGCTGCCTAACACCTCCCTTCACCAATAGAAATATATGAAAGAGTTCGGATATTAAATTATTATATTAGGCAGAAAGTCCCATCAGGCTGATCACGATGATCAACTGATTGCTTAGAGCTTGAACATGCATAACGTAAGTTTTATCGTGCCATCTTTGTAAACAACTTGTTTTTCACTTTCAAAGATACCATGACACAATTTGTAATTGAAAATGGCCCTTACTATAACTATACTCTTGCCATAAGCCCATAACCATAAACAATTACCAGTTGTCCGTTTTGAAAAAGTAGTATAGCATATTACCCTTCAATATGTCCGTTGTCTAGTAATCAGGGGGCATAAGTAAATGATTGGTCCCCAACTTAAGCAAACAGGGAACTTTTTCATGATTGGTTGATCATTATATCACAATTCTATCATCAAAATGCAATAATAATGTTCTAACAATTTTTATGTTCCAATGCCCTCCTATACACAAAATAGCCCTGCCCACTTCCCAGGTCGTGCAGCCCCTCCTCAATTTGGTTCGCTCCTTACTAGATTCAATTAATTAGCATATATATACATATAATATTCTCGATTTCATTAATTAGCATTATCTAACTCACTTCAATCACCGTTACCCAATTTGATCGAGAAACTCCCAGAATTGACAAAATTAGGTCACAAAACGCAATCTCAAGTTACCTTTCTTCTAAATCGTTTATTCACTTGATTTAGCCTACATTCCAACAGAAAATCATTTTACAATCATCAATTATTTAACACAATTTAGTGTGAACATTACTATTGCGGCTCCGACTTCAAATCAGGCTTAATCTCTTTAGCATTAGAAGTGGAACATCCTAATCTCTTTTGGGTTGATTCCAAGGCATGATTTTGGTTATATGTTAACTATTACCATACTTTATCATCAATTCTGAAAAAATAATCGCAATAATATCAATTCAATTGACATAACCTGCTCAACCGACTTTTGCACTCTGACCCAGATCAAGCATTAGCACTGATACAAAATAGGTCGATTGCTGACCTATTTACTTCGAATTGCTGAGTATTCTCCCATATCTTCGTTTCTCTCCTCAATTCAAGTCCGATGCATACTGATGTTAACCTCCCTCCATCACTGGAAATATACGAAAGAATTGCGAGGTTAAATTCTTAAATTGGATATTTATACTTTTGCACTTCAACAAATTACACATTAGTTCTCCAATTTGAATTTCGTTCAATTAAACCCCAACACTTTTTATGTTATTACTTAATATCCCAATTAGTATTCACACATAATCAAGTTGACGACTTGTTTTCGGTATTTTTAACAAATTACATAAATCCAGCTAAATCTTTTATATACTTCATTCCTTATATCCTTATTCCAAAAGATAATGCTTTGAAATTCCGCAGGGTTTAAAATTCTTATGTACTTGTTGGCTATGAAACAACTAAAACATATCTACTTGAGCTTATCTATATGAACACATAAATGAATACTTTGTCTCAAAAGGATTATAACTTCCAAGTAGAATTAAGGTCTTTTAGAGTACTAGATAGCTGCAATTTCTAAGGGCCTCTTATGGGGAATAGTAAGCAACCCAACCTGACACAAATATCCTACACTTCTCCTTTGCAAAGTATTTCATTGCCTATTTTCCTAAGGTCTCTTCACATGGAAAAAAATGAATGTCCATCTATTACAATCCTCTCCTTTTAAGCGTCTACTATATGGTTTAATAAGTAATGGCCAATTGCAGGAAATAGCAATGTACTTTACTCCTTTTACAAACATAGGCGATATACTTTATTTTTACCCGTATTAGCAACTACTTTAATACATTTATATATAATGGGAATATGCTTACATTTTTTAAATATGCAATCCATAACAACGTACTTTGCATCTTATTTTACATAGTAACCACACACTAATAATTGTTTACCGAAAATAGTAATATATAACAATTAGGTACGATGATTATATTTATAGCAAAATGTAAGTATAATCCTATTATTACTAATAAACAAAGTACATTGCCTATATTGACCAACATTTAAAAACTTAGTTATTTGATACTTCCCTCCAATGAATTTGATTGAAGGAACTTTTTTGACCGGCGGCAAGCCTATCAAAACTTAGTTATTTGAAACTTCCCTCCAATCAAATTTACCATCCAAACAATCAAAATTAACTTGCAAACATGTAAAAAATTGCTTTAATTTAATGGAGTTCTTATTATCACCATTCATGATCAATAGAAAATGAAAATAAAGGCAGGAAACAACTAATCAACACAAATAAAGCAAGATGTTGATCATATTAAGACCAAAATGCAAGTAGTTCTTTCCAACTCTTATCATTCACAATTAAGACCATGAGCATAAATTCCTAGCACCATACTATAAGATTACATACACACACCTACTATGATACACAGTTAAGAAGATGAAACCAGATTGCCTTTGTTTGGGTGTACAGGCTTTTGAAGTATAACTTTACTCAACACACACACACATATATATATATATATATATATATATATATATATATATATATATATATATGTACACTTTGACTTGTCATAGATACATTTAACAATCTCACAGTATGTATGTTTCCATTGTAATGGTTCTAACTTTAATCCCAAAAGACCAACCAATTATGCATTAGCCACACATACAAAAGCAAAAGACACAAAATCACATGAACATAAGATAATACTCTTAAGGTTAACTTTCTTCCTTCAGACTCCTCTAAGAAGCATTATTTCTTATAAGGTTGATTAGTAATCTGTATCAAAAGGGGTGGTCTAGATGCCATAAACATGTTCCAGTTAGAGAGTGCAAGTGACCTCCATGACTTGCAAACTCCACTAAATGAAACAAAATCAACGATTCCCAGTCTCATCATGATAAAAAAAAAGTACATCATGGTTAAGGTTTGACTAAGCTACCGATTAACCCTTGTTAAATCTCTTCTTGGTAGGTGAAGGTGCATCATCATGATTCTGGTGTCTACTCATACTCCTTGGCTTAGCCATTGCTACACTTGGAAACAAAACATTGAACACTCAAATTCAACTTAAAGTACAGGATTAACAAAACAAGGTGTACATGCCATGTACATTATCACAGACACTAACATTATCATCATCAAAGTTTACAAAATGTTGCAAAAAAAAAAAGACACTTCATGTCACTTCCTATGTTCTATGTGGCTAATTCTTTCTGTGCATATCTACTACATATTGTTCAAGTCATGGACCACCAACTTCATACTTATGTCCCCCATTCTACAACACATTATACTTTGCAGTTCCCGTTTTGATGTTCCCTATTAATTTTTTGGCTTATAGAGTTAGTGGTCCATTTGACTTCTCAATCACTTGTTATGAATTTGAGATTATATTCATTAAGTTCCCCTTAATATATCATAAAGCTGTTATGATGGGCTTGCCTATCCCATCTATCATTTTTTTATTCAAAACCTACATACGTTATTAAGCAACACATTACATTGTTCTATTCCTACCTCATGGAAAAAGACTATTGTAACACCCCCAAGTTTTCAAAAAATTTAAAACTTTTTCAAAGCTAAGGTTATAAAATCATTTTGGGTGTTAACCCACATTTAACAAAAACCGATACCACAAAAAAAACATTTACAAATTAAAATATTGGATGTTACCATTAAACATCAATACAACCACAACAAGCAAATATGAATTTCATCAATATCATTAAAAAGGAACTTGACAAGCTCCACTCCTTTCTTTATTTCTTACACCCTGTTCCCGAGTCAAAATTAACGAGGGAAGCGGAGAGAAAAGAAGAGAATCGGAGAGAAAGAAGGAGTCAAGAGTGTTCCCGAGATTATTTTTTGGAGTGATTTGGGAAGAAAGGAAAGGAAATCGGCACAATCTTTTCTCTCCTATTCTTCCTCCCAAATTTGAGAGATTTGGAGAGAAGAGAATCATCGATACAGAGAAAATCCCGATGATTACCAAACTACCCCTATATACATTCACGTACAAGAAAAAAAAATCATTGCTTCTCCTCTTCACGCTTTGCAATCAGAGACGATTCCGTTGACTGGTTCCGCACTCAGCTTTGTCTTCAAGCTTCCATTATCAGGTTTCATTTTTTTTCTTTGATTTGTTTTTTATGTTTCTTATACCTAATGATATTCTTCTTATACACGATGCCATCTATTTCTTGGTTATGGGTACTTATTTGGCATTTATATAATCAAGAAAAGTATATGACCTCACCTGCTCTTTCACTAGACTTCCAGTTTCATGAAGTTTTCTCGGTTATTTCTATGTTTCTTCTCTGTTATTTGGTGGTATATAGGTAATTATAGTCTTTTTCTGCCTCTATAAAATCACCCCCAAGTTTTACAAACTCGTTTATCTGCATAAATTTAATAAAAAGTTGCAGGATTTCTCAAAAAATCTCATTACAATGTGCAACTAAATGTAAAAAAGATTAATTTAAGCAAGTAACTATGGGCATTACTGCATTACAACCTTTACCATGCTTCTTTCTGTTAATTGGATTAATTTAAGCAAGTGCTAATAAGATTATATAGTTTTGCCAAAGATTACTTTTGTGATTATCATCTCTACATAGAAGATCACAAAATACTCTATTATACATATTCATGAGTACTCTTGGGTGGTGTGCCTCATTGTAAATTATTATGTTAAGTCTCATTCTTATCCACCTTCCTTACGCCACCATATATTGTTTGATTTAGCTGGTATGATTGGTTTAAGCATATCACTATTTCATATTTAATTTGCTTGTGGATTTTGATAGAATGACTGGTTATACATTTGGGCTTGAAATAACAATATGAGTGCAACAAACTACCATCCGCTAGGGAACTGAACAAGTTGTTCATATTTCATTTTCTTGGGGATTTAGATAGAATGACTATATGAAAATAAGTCTGATCACAAAACTAACTATGAGCAAAACAAACAATGAGCAACAATAGCATTGCTACTAAAAAATATGAGGTTTTATCGAATTACAATTTATAGTTTTTAGTATAATCTTATTTGGGTTTTAAAAAGCTTTCATTAGGTGTACATAAATTTTATCACTAAAATTTTCATATGTAAAATCAATCTCTTTTTCCTTTTTCTTTTTCCGATTCTGGTTTCCATCCTTATAAAGTTTAATAATTACAAAAATTCAAAAAAAAATAAGACAAAAAAGTATGTGGGTCGACCTACATGAACACAAAGCTTATTAGAAGTTTATTTTCAGTTGTTATTATTTATTTGATTCTTTACTTGGTTTGGTATGAAGAAGTAAGTATATTTGTTTTGAGAATTATAGGGCTACTTTACAGCTTCATTGCAACCACAATCAGTCGCCTTTTTAATGATGATCTACCAGTAAAGATACCATAGTCTGTCGGGGCTTGTCGGGGCTTGGTTTGGAGTTGGGTTGGGGAGTCTAGTAGATGAGAATGGGCCAAAGCATCCACTAAGAACCAACCCATTAGGCTGAGTCGTTTTATTTATTAATGCACCGGATTTATTAGTTTCCAGAGCCGAGTTACCGTTAGGATTAAGTGCTTCTGTTTCTCGAGGAGACCTTTCATCTTCATCTCCACCGCGGGGTGATCTTTCATCTTCTTCACCGCCGGAGTTATTTTCTGGCCGTGGTTGGATTTTCGACGGATAGCTGATATTTTCTGGTTCAATCTCCATTGTAGTGTTGACTTCTTCAGAGTACTGCTTATCGTGTTTCGGTTCATCAACATGCTGATTGAGGGTCTTTATTTCTCTTTCTTCTAGGTCATAGTCTTCACCTTAGACCCATGTGGACTGATTACTTGCCAATTATCAAGATATATCAACTTGATTCCAAGTTTCAACAACAAATGAACAAATATAAATCTACAATTAAAATATATCAACCATAACTTGATTTCAAGTTTCAACAACAAATAATCATTAGGTATTAACCCTAAGTCCCTAATTGAACAAAGTTAATTGTTAAAACTTTATCGGTTCATATATCATTATTGATTAAACAAAATTTATCAATTCAAGACTTAAAATTATTGATTAAACAAATTTTATCAATTCAAGACTTAAAGAAGAGAAAAAATAAGGGCTTAGAGATGTCAATGAACACCAAAAGGGAGGGTAAACCTTTACTAGTTGTTCACCCTATTTTACCCTTGTTTATCGCCTTTAACATCAGATACTTCAACAAGATTAGATTATGCTTGTAACATCAGATACTTCACCAATATTAGATTATGCCATTATGGTAACTTTATGTTAATTTAACATCTCAATTTCACTAATAAAATCAATTAAATGGAAAGTCCTCGCTGCAAGACCACACTCACATACGTTAAACACACACATAATAAAGAAAAAATAACACTTGGCTTAATATATTAGACACTAATGGTTATACCTAGTTATCATTTTTTTTTCTAACAGATCCTCTCATCCCCCCCCCCCCCTCCTTCATGTTTTTTAGAGCGCCGACTTGTTTTCGCTAATACTTTTTATAATACGAACTTTTAATTAGATCATTTTCATTTACATATTTTGAGAAAGTAACGATTTTTCCCAACCATAAATAGTATACGTGAAGGTTAGAACTTAGAAGTTAGAAGCCATCCACAGGACCACATAATAGATCAATGTATGTTATAGTTTTATTTTTAACTAGTGAAATAAGTAAACTTTTAAAATTTAGTTTAGAAGACAAACAAATCATATAAGGGTAAGAAGTTCTCCGTATGTGTATGTCAAGTTTCATATACTTACAATCATCAAATTAAACCACAAGAAATCCCTCACAAAACACCAGCAACCGGTTAGGGTTTCTTTGTTGGCAACGAGACCCTTACGTTTTACGATTGCAAGAAAGTCGTAGCAGGTGAACTTGGTGTTTTATAATTTATAATCTGTCACTAATTATTAGAGCCAGATTTCCATCGCTAGTTTGTCTCAAAATTAACAAAAGTGTGATCCTTTAGGGTGACACATTATCGTCACCGATAGTTAACCGATTTAATTTTCATCTTTTAGTATCTTAGGGTAAATTTAGCAAGAAATTTTTATCCATTGGTACTCAGGGAAATTTAGCAACGCGCATCCAGCGCTCTTGAGGCAACATCAGTAGCTTTCATGATAGGAGAGGTTCTTGAAAGATTTCAATGTGCTTTACCCTAGTTACTCGAACCAAAAAACTTGTATGAAAATAGAAAACAATGTGTGCAACAACATGCACATTGAATTTGTGTTGATTGTATATTTTCTCACCATCAAAAGTATTAAAGTAGACAACATTTATGGAAGAATATTCAAATTCAGCAATGGCAATCAATATAAAACTGAATTTTAATGGAAGGATATATTCACATTAATTTCTATCCCTAAAGAAACCACTGAATTTGATCACCAAATTCTGTTGGGGTTGAAACACACTTTTATTCAGAACTAGAACAAAAGAGAAGAGCTTACACGCTCAATATTACAAGAAAAAGAAACAACCCTCTAATACTCACTCTAAGTATTACACACTACACTCTCTGTTTGTGATGTCTTACAACAGAGGTTAGAGCCTCTATTTATACTTAAACAAGCCTACAATTACTACTGCTACCATTTATTGTGTTCATTATGTGAACATACGAAGTTGCCATTTGAGTTCTTATTGTCAACATAGATAGAGGTGCAGCTACTGATGTGAGGTTCACACCAAGTCTGGTTTACACTCACATTCTCCCCCTTAAACCGAACTTGGCTAGAGATTCGTCACGCCGATCATGTTTCGCATTTCACTATGTTTCACGTATGCTAAAGCCTTTGTAAAGATGTCCGCCCGTTGATCCTTCGAGTTGACATATTCCACTATAATTTGCCCACGTTCAACACATTCTCGTATGAAGTGATAACGAATGTCAATGTGTTTGCTTCGACCATGAAACACAGGATTTTTCATCAATGCGATTGCTGACTTGTTATCGACATATAAGGTGATAGGCATAATATGATGTCCCGTGAGCTCCTTCACGAGATTAGCAAGCCAAATGGCTTGACATGCTGCTGTTGTAGCTGCCATGAACTCGGCTTCACATGTGGACAAAGCAACAGTCTTTTGCTTTTGGGATTGCCAAGTTATCGCATTCCTTCCCAGATAGAAAATCATTCCACTTGTGCTCTTGCTATCAACAGGGTCACCTCCAAGATCACTATCGGTAAAACCAACCAAATCTTCAATTTCACGACCTCTTCCATAGTTGATTCCATAATCAATGGTTCCTTTTACGTATCACAAGATGTGTTTCACAACTTGGAAATGCAAAGTGGTTGGTTCCTCCATGAAACGACTTGCAATTCCAACCGAAAATGACAGGTCTGGTCGAGTGTGAGTCAAGCACCTCAAACAACCTACCACTCGCCTATATTCAGTTGGATCAACTTTTTCACCATCTTCATCCTTCTTAACCTTCAACTTAGGTTCCATTGGTGACGTTGTCGGATTGCAATCCAGCAACCCAAATTGCTCTAAAATCTTCTTTGCATAAGCCGTTTGTCGCAAAGATATTCCCCACTTCTTTTGCGAAACTTCGATTCCAAGGTAGTAAGAAAGTAATCCCAAGTCACTCATTTCGAATTCTTTCTTCATTTGTTCTTTGAATTCGACAACATCATTAGTGTTCGACCCGGTAATGATCAAGTCATCAACATAGACACCAACAATAAGAATTTTGTCTTTTGAGTTCCTTTTGTAAACAGCTGGGTCTTGTGAACTTTTTGTAAAACCAAGCCTTTAAAAGCTTTTATCCAAACGAATGTTCCAAGCTCGAGGAGCTTGTCATAGACCATAAAGAGCTTTATAAAGCTTGAACACCTTGTGACTATTTGCTTTATCAACATATCCTTCTGGTTGGGTGACATAAACCTCCTCTTTGAGATCTCCATTGAGAAAAGCCGATTTGACATCGAGATGGTGGACAACCCACCCATGTTGAGCTGCTAAGGCAAGAATGAGCCTTACGGTGTCAAGTCATGCTACCGGTGCAAAAACTTCATCAAAGTCGACTCCTTCCTTTTGTACAAATCCTTTTGCTACAAGTCGAGCTTTATGCTTCACCACTTTTCCCAAGTTGTCTTTCTTCACTTTAAACACCCATTTCAAACCGATTGCTTTGTGTCCGGATGGCAAATCAGTAAGTTGCCATGTCTTGTTCTTCTCGATTGCATCCAACTTTGTTTGCATAGCCTCCTGCCATGCCTTAGAGGTTACCGCCTCTTTAAAATTCAAGGGTTGATCCGCTGCAATCATCAACAATTCTTCGGGTTCAAGGAACACATTTTCGGTTTCAGAATAAATATCGGTTAACGGACGCAATCCCCTTGGCCCAATCTCACTAGAAGGGCTTTCCATATGGGGCGAGGTTGAAGAAAACGGGGCTGAGACATGAGTATGTGGAGCTGGTTCAGGCTCGTCAAATTCAGCATATGGTTGTCCAACTTGGATATCATCGATTCCTGGACTGTTTGGTTGTTCCAGATTGATTTCGGGGTCATTTTGAGGTGTTTCGAGGTGTATTTGGGGTTGTGGTTCAATTATGGTAAAGGTCTTAGGAGTCGCCATTTCTTCTTCTTTGTTTTTGTACCAATTCCATTCTTCTTTTTCGTCAAAAATAACATCGCGACTAACTCGCAACTTTCGGTCTTGCGGATCAAACAAACGGTTGCCTTTAGTTCCATCTTCCACACCTAAATACACCATCTTCTTACTTCGATCATCAAGCTTCTTCAAGTGACCACCTACAAGTTTAGCAAAAGCAACACAACCAAAAACTTTTAGATGTTCAAGGTTGGGCTTTTTGCCAAACCACGTTTCATAAGGCGTCTTGTCGGGAAGTACTTTTGGTGGCAGGCGGTTGAGAAGATAAACTGCATGTCTAACCGCTTCTCCCCAAAACTCTCCCGGAACATTTCTACCTTTGAGCAGACTTCTTGCCATGTCCATAACGGTCCGATTTCGCCTTTCTACAACTCCGTTCTGTTGAGGCGAATATGGTGTCGTAAGATGCCTTTGAATACCATTTTCTTCACAAAATAATGAGAATTCTTTTGAAGTGAACTCTCCCCCTCGGTCCGTTCGAAGTGTCTTTATTTGATAACCCGAATTCTTTTCAACCATCAACTTGAACCGTTTGAAAGCGCTCAAGGCTTGAGACTTCTCCGATAGCATGTAAACCCACATCCACCGGCTAAAATTGTCTACTAAAAGGAGAAAATATTTACTCCCTCCAACAGACGTAGGTGTGATCGGACCACATAAGTCCGCATGAACAAGTTGTAGAGGTTTTTGAGCCCGAAAAACTGCATGATCCGGGAAAGGAATTCGGGTTTGTTTGGAAAGAACGCACCCTTCACATACTTGGTTTGGGTGCTCAATCTTTGGGACTCCGATTGCCATATTCTTTTCGGACAACTTCTTTAAGGCGAGAAAGTTAACATGACCGAGTCTAGAATGCCATATCCAAGCTGGTTCGTCTTTTGTTGCTAAAAGACAAGTCGGTCTACCGGTCCTTAAAGGAGTTTTATATAACCGGTTTGGGGATCGTTTAACTCTCAAAAGTAGAGTTTTGTTTCTGTCAAACAATGTCAGATCCGACCCATCCATTATGACCCGACTCCCTTCCTCCGTCATTTGTCCAAGACTAATAATATTGTTTTTTAGACTTGGAATGAAATATACCTCATTAAGGAGTCTTTGGTTGCCATTTTTGCTATCGAATAAAATCGACCCTTTTCCCAAAATAGCGACGGTCGAACCATCCCCAAATTTCACATGGCCCGTAACGTGCTCATCTAGTTCGCGAAACTTTGAGCGGTCTCCAGTCATGTGATTGCTAGCACCGTTGTCGAGATACCATACCTCAGACTCGACTCGACTTTCTCCCGATGCAAGAAGATTAACACAAATCTTCTCTCTTAGAGACACTTTTTTATGTGCATATTCTTGTGAGGTTGCCATCATTAAAATAGGCTCTTCTTCGTTGGCTTGAGTGAGGTTTGCCTCCTCACCTCGATTCTTGTTTGGACACTCCGAAGCATAATGACCAAATTGTTCACAAGTAAAGCATTTGATTTTACTTTTATCCTTTTGAGAAGGATTATGGTCATTCCGATTTGTATTGTACTCGCGACCACCTCCTTGGCCACGTCTACGACCTCGGCCTCGTCCCCGGCCTCGGTTACCATGTCCTCCTCGTCCTCTTGAAGTGTTTGACGAGTTTCTCTCGCCAGTTTGCTTCGAACGAGATGCCCACTCGGCATGTGTAAGCAATAGAGAAGGTCCTTCTTCTTTTTCTCCATAGCTTCGAAGTCTCTCTTCATGGGTCTTAAGACGACCCACAACTTCTTCCACCGTCATATTCTTCAAATCTCCGAATTGCTCGATGGATGTTACGATTTGTATAAATCGTATCGGTACGGCTTGCAAAAAATTTTCACAACCGTAATTTCTTCAATCTTTTCACCTAGAGATCGAATACCGGTTACGATAGTATTCAATCTCATGGAAAAATCATCTACCGATTCACTGTCTTTCATCCGGATCACCTCGAAGTCACTTCTCAAGGTTTGAGCTTTAGCCTCCTTGACCCGATCGACTTCCATGTTCATCATCTTCAGCGTTTCCCATGCTTCTTTAGCTGTGTCCTTCTCAGCTAACATCAGAAGTACGTCCTCTGGAATTGCTTGATAAATAGCCGCAAGAGCCATCCGATCTTTACGTTCGTCCGTTTCTGCATTTTTAATTACATCTCATACTCCTTGTGCTTGTAAATTCACTCGCATTTTTATGGCCCACACCGTGTAGTTCATCTTCGTGAGCATTGGATAGTGTAACGTAACGCTACCGTCTTTCCCGGTCCTTTGAAAACTTTCAACTCCGGCTTGAGAAGATGACGAGGTTGGTGTAGTCATTCTTGGCATATACTTGGGCATACACGAGTAAGAATATATATATATATTTTTTTTTGAAGTACGGGGACCAATATGAACTTTTCAGAAGTTCAGGGGGCAAACAGAACTTTTACAGAAGTAAAACAGGGGCTAAATTGAAATTTTTCTGAAAAACGGGACCAAAATTGCAATTTTTCTGAAAAACAGGGGCTAAATTGCACTTTCCGGAAGAACAGGGGCTAAACTGCAATTTCCAGAACTTTGGTCAGCTGCTGATGTCACTGCTACAGTGCTGCTACAGTACCTGCTACAGTGTCGTCTTCTCCGGCGAACCTTGGTTTTTCCGGCGACTTTTCCAGCAGATTTGACCAACTTTGACCGGTGATTTGGAGGCCTTCCGGTGGTCAAAAAATTCAAAAAAATATATTTTCGGAATCCTCAGAACGAGACCTTTCCAACGGTGTACTCCGAAATTGTTTTTGAGACAAAAAAATTTCGACCAAAAAACAGAGAATGCTTCCCCCGGAGCTTAACCAAGCTCTGATACCACTTGTTGGGGTTGAAACACACTTTTATTCCGAACTAGAACAAAAGAGAAGAGCTTACATGCTCAATATTACAAGAAAAAGAAACAACCCTCTAATACTCACTCTAAGTATTACACACTACACCCTCTGTTTGTGGTGTCTTACAACTGAGGTTAGAGCCTCTATTTATACTTAAACAAGCCTACAATTACTACTGCTACCATTTATTGTGTTCATTATGTGAACATACGAAGTTGCCATTTGAGTTCTTATTGTCAACATAGATAGAGGTGCAGCTACTAATGTCAGGTTCACACCAAGTCTGGTTTACACTCACAAATTCCTCTGCCCTTCTGCAGAAGTATTGAGAAGTTGGGCTTTGATGGCCTGAACTTTGTGCTGCATTTAATCTTCAAATTGCAAAATAGTGGAATGGGTCAATAGGCTCTTCCCTGAAAATACCAAAAGGGGGGCAGAATAAACAACAACCAACCATTGGTTTAGTTTACAACAACTAAAATCTTGTGAAAGTTTCTGTAGGATTACAGTAATATCCACAAGATAATTACATAGTCTAATTAATAGTTTCAAATATAAAAGTTGATCTAAACCATCATATCACGTAAATTGAACTTGGAAAGGTACTTCTTTGATTATCTTAAATGATCCTAGGCATACAAACAACGGAAATTCAACCAATTGACTGATATATTGTTGTTTTGTTATATTTAGTCAACATTTCTTAATCAAAGTCTTTCTTTCTTGGCTCTATTAGTTGATCCTTCATCTGCCTTTTATTTATCCTTCTTTTGCCTCTTTTTAGTCATCATCTTTCTTTGTCACCTTACACACAGCTATTTTTATATAATTGATATTGGTGACTCATAATTCATCTCCATGTCCAGAACGTTCATTCCTAATCTAGTTATATGGCTGAATGTTAAACTCATAGATGGTCTATATTATGTTATCACATGTCACAAACAATTAATATACTAAACCATCCTTTCATGGTTCAATATTTGAATCACTTCAACATGTTGAGAGTCATCTCCCTTCTATACGTGTTTGTAATAGTCACATGCACAGGATCATCAGTAATTAGCCATCATGATGAATGTTCAGCCTTGTTTCAGTTTAAGCAAAGCATGACTCATCAGGATGATCCAGCTTGTGCTGTTCTTGGGCTTCAAACGTTCCAATCTTGGAAGCCCAGAAGCAATGCATCGGATGCTGGTTTTGATTGTTGTTCGTGGTATGGGGTGGAGTGCAGCAACGACAATGAGTATGGTCATGTGGTCGGCCTTGACTTGAGTGAAAGCTTTCTTTGCGGGCTATCAACTCTAACAGCACCCTCTTCAGCCTTGTTCATCTTCAGAATCTCAACCTTGCACTTAACCACTTTTATGAATCTCAAACCCCATCTGAGATTGCTCGTCTAAAGAAATTGAGAAGTCTCAATCTCTCTGATTCTGAGTTTATTGGCCGAATCCCAAATGAAATCTCACAGCTGATGCAGTTGTCTTCTTTAGATCTATCACAGAATCCACTAAAGCTACAAAGTCCTAGTGGCCTCAAGGATCTAGTGCAAAACATGACAGGGCTCAACGAACTCCATCTCTCCGGGGTTGACATTAGTTCTTCTGTACCTCATTTATTGACAAACTTTTCTTCTTTAAGGTCAATCAAGCTAAAAAACTGCTCGCTTAGGAATAAATTTCCTGAAGCAATATTTCAGCTACCAAAGTTGAAAATTCTTGACGTGGAGTCCAATCCTAACCTCTTTGGTTCCTTTCATGAATTTCATAACAACAACTTACTTGAATATGTGAATCTAGGTTTGACAGGCTTCTTTGGGATTGTACCAAATTCCATAAGCAAACTAAATCATTTGATAATCTTGCGCCTTACCAAATGCTCTTTCTCAGGGCGCATTCCAGCTTCACTCTCTAACTTGACACAACTCACTTACTTAGGTTTAGGTATGAATAAGTTCACAGGTTTAGTTCCTTCATTGATAAGTCATTCGAAACTCAATATTTTGGAACTTACAGGTAACAAATTTGAGAAGGGATACTTGCCTAGTTGGCTTGGCAAGCTGACTACACTTAATGAACTTTATATAGCTGATATGAACATAAACGGTGAAATCCCACCCTTTCTTGCAAACCTAACCAAACTTAGTGTGCTCCAAATGGGAAAAAATGTTCTTACACGTCATATACCATCCTCGTTATTCAACATCAGCCAACTAAGAATGTTAAGCCTTCAAGAAAACCAATTGCAAGGACCAATTTCAAGCTCATTTTCAAACTCCAAAAGTCTTCAACATCTTCGCCTACAGTGGAACGATTTCAGCGGTAAGGTAGACATAGACATATTCCTACGACTTAACAAGCTCGAAACTCTCGCATTGGGTTTTAACATGATATCTTTAGTGGCTACCAAGAACTACTCGAATAGCACCTTACCAGAATTGAAAGACGTAGAACTTCAATCATGCAACTTGAAGGAATTCCCTTCATTTTTTAGATTCCAACAAAAATTGAGGATTTTACTTCTTGGACACAACAAAATTCATGGCATGGTACCTGTGTGGATATGGAACAACAGCCAAGAAACTTTACAACTGATTAGCCTTTCGTATAACTCCATCACTGGCTTTCATCAGCATCCTCATTTTCTCCCATGGAAACGTTTACAAGGATTTTACATCTCGTATAATCAGGTACACGGGCAGCTACCACTTCCACCATAAACCACAGTTCTTTATGGTGTCTCAAACAATAATCTGACTGGAGAAATACCACCATGGTTATGTGAATTGAAATGTCTACAAGAGTTGGATTTGTCTTCTAATAACATGAGTGGAACACTTCCTTCATGTTTAGGCAGCTTAAGCAATTCATTGGTGGAATTAAATTTGAGACGAAATAAATTTCATGGCATAATGATGAATGCATTTAGGCATGGAAGCCTGTTGGAAAGTATTGATTTGAGCGAGAATAGATTTGTGGGTCAGCTACCACGATCATTAACAAATTGTACCAATCTAGAGGTTCTCTCTCTTGGAGACAACTCTATCGATGACATTTTTCCTTCTTGGCTGGGACTTCTCCCCAAGCTTCAAGTTCTTGTTTTGCGGTCCAACAAATTTCATGGTCCAATTCAAGATTCAACAACTGCTTGCTCACAGTTCCCTAAGTTGCGGATCATGGACCTTTCTAACAACGGTTTTAGTGGTCGATTGCACCATAAATTCTTCCACACATGTTTAGCTATGAAATCAATTGGAGAATCGTTTGTTCTGGAAACAACAATGTCCTTCAGCTCATTCAACACAAAGTCGCCATACACGATGACATTAATATACAAAGGTTTCAGAAGAGAGTACGAAGAGATTTTAACCTTATTCACGGCTGTTGATCTCTCTTGCAACCATTTTGAAGGAGAAATCCCGCTATCACTCCAAGATCTTAGAGGGATTGAATCACTCCATCTTTCCAACAATCATTTTACCGGGTATATCTTTCCATCGTTAGGGTACTTGAAGAATCTTGAATCGTTGGATCTCTCCCAAAACAAGCTATCCGGAGAAATTCCTCAACAGTTGGTGCAACTAGGCTTCCTTGCCATTTTCAACGTGTCAACAAACCATCTTGATGGACGCATACCCCAAGGGAAACAGTTTGATACATTTGACAACAGCTCCTACAAGGGGAATCCACGATTGTGTGTACATCCTTTATCCAAGGAATGTCAAGATTCAAAGGCATCAATACATCCACCAGCAAGCAATACATCTGAGGCTGTTTCTCTCCTCCCAAGCGAAAGAATTGACTGGATTATCATATTCTATGGAGTTGGAAGCGGGATGGTTGTTGGGATTGTTTTTGGAAACTTTCTATATACAAAGTATTATGATAGGTTCAGGAAGAGGAAGGACAGATGGGTAAGGCCACTTCGTAACACGAGGAGAAACGAAGGTACAAGGTTTTCTGAAATGCACGTTTTACGATCGTGAATGCTTTATTTTCTACAGATAAAAAAATGTGAACTTAAAAACATAAACCTTACCTTAGCATGTATTTCAGGACGTGCTATAGCTTATGTGACAACCCGAAATTTCAATCTTGTACAAACCATTCAATTCAATCAAAGTTAGACTTATTCCTACAAACTTTTAGCACTATATAGAGTCTATTTGAGCATTCTGAGTTTAGTACATCAAGGGAATAAGTGAATGGAAGTGCCAATAGAAATTGTAACCCATCAAACATGCCATAAACCCTCAAAAGAGGAGTTTACGGCCAAAGGTCATGGGTTTACGGCCGTAAACACATGGTGGCCGTAAACTCCATGCTATATATGGGGTCCTTAGTCATTTTCAGCCACTTTTCACTCCTCCAAGTCTAGAAACTCGAATTCTCTCCCAAGGATCTTGAAGTTTTTGCTTCCAATCTTCAAAATGTAAGTAAATCCTTCCATATATGAGTTAATACATCTCTTCTCCTTAATTCACTCTTGATTTCATCCATGAAATCTCTTCTTTTGGGTAGATCTTCAAGTGTTCTTCATTTCACCAAGAACACCAAGTACACACACTAGTGTTTTTGGGGTCTAACCACCCTTTCAAGCTTCTACTACGTAAGTACACTATCCTTGGCTTGTTACATACTAGAAACACTTGTTAAACATCTAGAAATCTTCAAGAAATCGTGACCAGAAGGGAGTTTACGGCCAAGGCAATCTCCCATGGCCGTAAACCCTAATTATGGGTGCAAATGGACCATAACTTCTTCCTAAGGCTCGATCTTTGGTCTAGAACACTTCCTGGTAGCTTGTAAGACCTTAAAAAAAAAGAAATCATGGACAAAAGGGTGTTTACGGCCAAGGCAATCTCCCTTGGCCGTAAACTCTACTTTTTGGTGCAAGGTTGCCACAAACACCTTCCTAAGACTTGAAACTAAGTCTAGAACACCCCCAAGAGGAGTATAGGACCTTAAACACACAAAATGGTACAAGATGACATGGGTTTACGGCCGTAAACCCATTGGGCCGTAAACCCATGGGTAGTAAACCCATTGGGCCGTAAACCCATGGGCAGTAAACTCATGGGAGTTTACTCTTGGGCAGTAATCTCCAATGTGAGGTCCTACAACCCTTAGGTGCAACCCTTTGTACTTCTAGCACTTGAATCAAAGTGTTTTCCATGTCATAAGGTGTCCTTACTTGCTTAATTAATTGTTTAAACACTAATTACATGCATATATGTGTCATTATATGTTAAATAGGATCTGTGTATGTGCTCAAGTCCTCACTTGACACTTAGCATCCTATCCAACACTTCCATCCAAACCACTCACTGCAGGTGAGTTCATACCCCTTAATCAACCTTTTAAATGATTTTAAATGCTTTTATGGGGGGGGGGGGATACAAGTTGAAATATTCTAGTTATTATACTAATCACATGGGATTAATAACTAGAACAATCAGAAGGATTTTCTATTACTTTCAAATTGTTATCAGACTTATGGATTCCAAACACTTCAATATACTTTGTTAAACTCTTTTCAATGCTAAACCTTTTAGCAAACTCTTTTAAACTTTTATTGTGGTCAAACCCATATCTATACAGATATATTTATATAAGTAAAGTTTGAAAGACTTAGGACTGATAGCTTACTTTATTTCCTGTTCCTTGTTTGGTTGTGGACTTAGGGTATCCTGTTATCTGTCCGAATGTCGTTGAAACCTTAGTTATATATCATATATATATATATATATATATATATATATATATATATATATATATATATATATATATATGTGTGTGTGTGTGTGTGTGTGTGTTAGATATAAAAGCTTTTATTGTAGTTCATTACCTTTGGATAGCCAAGTCATACAATCAACATTACTAGTTAACTATAATAGGTATAGTTAAGTGATTACTACTCACTATTACTATTACAACGACACTATACAAGAGAACATACTATACACTATACATGAGAACATACTATACACTATACAAGAGAGCATACTATACACTATACATGAGAACATACTATACACTAGTACAGAGAGAACATCACTACACTATGACTTACTATACAAACATTTGGATACGTTAACTAAAGTGTGACATACTACTTCTCGATACGACACTGCATTGTTGTATCACCTTGTAACCAGAGTCTCCTGGAGGGAGAGCGGGCATTATGTGTATAGATCTATACGGGACAGACACTCCCACACCCCGACTGCTAGCTATAGTCTCAGCCGACACGGCCAAGGGGTGACAAAATGTCACCTCACTACATATGACACCAGAGGGTCATCTTTTATTAAGTCGTCGATCAGCATGGTTACATACGAGTTCACATTTAAACATTTAATTAACCGACTAAGGATTAAAGGCAAACAGACTCCCCGAGGTGTATTGTACATTTAATACTACCTGGAGTCTGCATTTTTATCACTTTATAGCCAGCAGTGCCACTGCTGAGGTAAAACATGATTTTTCCCCTATTACATGTATTTTGTGATCATCTCACATAAACAATGACTTAAATTATATTTTTATAATGATAGTTTCACTGGGGAAAACTTTTACATTTACAAAGGAACAAACATACAAACAGTCGGGTCTTGGTAGAAGACTACATTTCAGTAGAAAATATAAGATTTTCTAGGGAGTTCAAACATTTACAAACAACTTCAAACAACTACGAACATTTACTCTGCGTTGTTATAAACATTTTCATACAATCAATGACACTAAATACTTATGAACTCACCAGCGTTAATGCTGATAAACTCTTTCAAAATAACTTGTATTCTCAGGTCATCAGTAGACAGGTACCGATGAAGCTTTTGAGAAGATGGAGCACATACAAGACTCATCTTTTATTTTGATTATTCATTTTGGTGTCTTATAAACTACAAAAAACGCTTGTATTAAAATTATTCTATTAATGCAATGGATGTTGTTGCTTGTTTACTATTATGCTTTGTTGTGATACTGTGCATGAAGTCCTCCACCCCAGAACGTTTCCGCCGTTACGGTTTTGGGGTGTGACAGCTTAAAGTTTGAAGGGCATGGAGAAGGTACATAAGATTTTCAAGGGATTTTAATATGTATTACCTTTAGGTATGTGTATATTTATGTTAAGACTATGTTGTTTTCAATTGTTTCATTGTAAGATTTTTGATATATCATTTAGTAAGATCTCCAATGTTTATGTTCATCGTTTATGGTGGCATGATCGATCATTGACTGTTATGTAAGCTATTAGCAGATTTCAGGGTGTGACAATATGAGATTTATGTGCACTGTATATATTTGTTTAAAAAAAAAATAAAGATGGCCAATAACTATCTTTTTCATTAAGTTGTTTGGCTCAAGGAAAAATGCATGCAAATGAAACATACTTTCACCCATTTTTCATTTAACCATACATACTTTGAAGATTATGGTTTTGGTATTTATCTTCTAAAAAATACACATTTTGATACCTAAGTTGAAAAATAAAATATACCAATATAACATTTTATTTGCAATTTTCATCAACATAACTGTTAGGAATCAAACAGGGATTACAAGTACAATTCATCAACATAACCTGCCAAGCTCCGATACCACTTGCTAGGAAGTAAAGTAGATAACCCGCTAAGCCACATACATGAAAACATAGTATTTATGTGGTTTGGTCAAGGTGACCTACTTCCACGGTAGGAGGGAGTATTCTTATTCAAGAGTTCTCAAATAAAGATCATAAGTACAATTAAAAAAAGATTGACCTACTCACTAGAATTCAAGGTACAAATAAATAACTAACAGACATCCCTAATTATAGACTAGGGATCAGATGGTCCATAGGTCTATGAAAGGAGTCAACCAATCATATTTTTCCATGTATTGCTTCTAGGACCTTCATCCTTGGGAGATGTACATGGCCACCAGCCATGTACTTGAGACGCCATCACCATGCTAGAATCACCTTCTCTCACCAATAGCACCTTTACTCCAAGAAAACACGTTTGCACCAAAAGAAAACATCTTCTCTCACCATGTATTGCTTCGAGAAATTGAACAGTTCTCTCACGAAAAAGTTGAAGCCAAATTCCAAGCTTCACAGGATGAAGTCAATTCTAGCGTTCAAGTGTTGGAAGGAACACCCCAAAAGATTATGAAACAACTAATGAATCAAAATTGAAACTCGGAATCTTCAGGAAGGAAATCGACTGAGAGGAATACGACAAGATGATCATCTCCAATCAACATCGAAGAAGAAGATTTGGTTATGGCCAAGACTAATCGGAATTTGAAATTCGACACAAATGAGAGGGATCAGAATCAATTTTTTGCAATCAGGGGCAGAAAATTGGAGATTCCAGTGTTTGACAGTTCCGATCCTGATGGATGGATTCTAAGGTTTGAAAGATACTTCAGTTTGAATCGACTTAACAATGTAGTGAAAATTGAAGTTGATGTGATTTCTTTTGAAAGTGATGTGCTTCGATGGTACCGGTGGGAAAATAGGAGAAAACTGATAACAAGATGGGAGGAGATGAAATCCCTTCTGTTGAGGCAATTCCGTTCCACTTCTACATGTTCTCTTTATGAACACTTTCTAGAATTCAAGCAGGAAGGTTCAATAACAGAGTATCACTGGAAATTTGTGTCATTGGTTGCCCCACTTGAAGGTATCTCTGGTGAGGTTTTCTTAAGTCAATTCGTAAATGAATTAACATCTAATATCAAGGCGAAATTAAGACTTTTATCCCCAACAAACCCGTCCGATGCAATGCAATGGATATTGCATGTAAAATTGAAGAGAAAAATAAAATCCTAAATGCATATGAAAGTGTAGAGAATGGGAACAATAATTGGAATTTTTTAGTGGAAATGAGTCCAAAAGTAGGAATACCATAACTCCTGGAAACACGATTACAAATAAAAAGAATATGGGCATATATAGAAGACTGTCTGATCAAGATTTGAAAGAAAAGAAGTCTAA